CATCTGCAAATAGTGAAAGTTTGACTTCTTCCTTTCCAATTTGTATCCCCTTGATCTCCTTTTGTTGTCTTATTGCTCTAGCTAGGAATTCAAGGACAATATTGAAGAGGTATAGAGACAGTGGACAGCCTTGTCTTATTGATGGATTTTCATATGTTGAACCATCCTTGCATCCCTGGGATGAAGCCTACTTGATCATGGTGGATGATTTCTCTGATATATTCTTGGATTTGATTTGCCAGATTTTATTTAGTATTTTGCATCAATGTTCATGAGGGATATTGGTCTGTAGTTCTTTTTCTTAGTTGTGTCTTTGTGTGGCTTGGGTATCAACGTTATTGAAGCCTTGTAAAAAGAGTTTGGCAATGACTCTTCTGCTTCTATCATGTGGAATTTAGGAGAATTGGTGTTAGCTGTTCCTAGAATTTCTGGTAGAATTCTGCACTGAAGCCCTCTGTTCCTGGGCTTTTTTTTTTTTTTTTGGTTGGCAGAATTTGGTGACTGCCTCTATTTCATTATGGGTTATAGGTCTATTTAAGTTGCTTATCTGTTCTTGATTTAATTTTGGTAAGTGAAATCTGTCGAGAAAATTGTCCATTTCCTTTATATTTTCAAATTTTGAGGAATACAGGTTTTTGAAGTATGACCTTATGATTCTATGGATCTCCTCTGTGTCTGTTATTATGTCCTCCTTTTCATTCCTGATTTTATTAATTTGTATGTTCACTCTCTGCTATTTGGTAAATGGTAAATGGTAAATTTGGATAGAGGTTTTTCTATCTTGTTGATATTCCCAAAGAAACAACTCTTTGTTTCATTGATTCTTTGTATTGTTCTCCTAGTTTCCACTTTATTGAATTCAGCCCTCAATTTGATTATTTCCTGGTGTCTACTCTGGGATGTATTTGCTTCTTTGTGTTCTAGATCTTTTATTTGTGCTGTTAATTCTCTAGTGTGATTACTCTCCTGTTTCTTCATGTGGACACTTAGCACTATGAACTTTCCTCTTAGCACTGCTTTCAAAGTGTACCAAAAGTTTAGATATAGTGTTCTCATTCTCACTGAATTCTAGGAAGTATTTAATTTCTTTTTTTTTCCCTCAACCCAGGAATTGGGCAATTGGGCATTACTTAATTTCCATGAGTTTGTTGGTTTTCTCCAATTTGTGTTGTTGTTGAATTCTAACTTTAAAGCATGGTGATCTGATAGGACACAGTCAGTAAGACAAAACAGCAGCTCATAGACTGGGAAAAGATATTCACCAACCCCACATCTGACAGAGGGCTGATCTCCAAAATATACAAAGAACTCAAGAAGCTAGTCTCCAAAACATAAAACAACCCAACTAAAAAGTGGGGTACAGAACTAAATAGACAATTCTCAATAGAGGAATCTAGAATGGCTGAAAGGCACATAAGAAAGTGTTCAACATCCCTTGCCATCAGAGAAATGCAAATCAAAACAACTCTTAGATACCATCTTACTCCTGTTAGAATGGCTAAAATAAAAAACACCAATGATAGTTTAAGCTGGAGAGGAGGTGGAGAAAGGGGAACACTCCTCCACTGCTGTTGGGAGTGGCAACTTGTACAGCCACTTTGGAAATTAGTATGGTGACTCTTCAGGAAAATGGGAATCAATCTACCACAAGATCCAGTAATTCCAGTCTTAGGCATATACCCAAAAGAAGCACATTCATACAAGTACATCTGTTCAACTATGTTAGTAGCAGCACTATTTGTAATAGCCAGAAATTGGAAGCAACCTAGATACCCCTCAACTGAAGAATGGATAGAGAAAATGTGGTACATTTACACAATGGTGTATGACTCAGCAGAAAAAATAAAATGGAACCCTGAAATTTGCAGGAAAATGGAAAGAAGTAGAAGAAACCATTCTGAGTTAGGTAATCCAATCACAAAAATACAAACATCTTATGTACTCAGTCATATGTGGATTTTAGACATAGGGTAAAGGATTACCAGCCTACAATCCACACTGCCAGAGAAACTAGTAAACAAGGAGGAACCTAAGAGAGACATCCATGGTCCCCTGGAGAAGGAGAAAGGGACAAGATCTCCTGAGCAAATTGGGAGCATGGAAACATGGGGGGCAGGGAGCTAGGAGAATGAGAAGAGGAGAAGAGGAAGGGTGAGGAGGACATGAGGGAGCAGAAAGGTTGAGTCAGGGGAAGAATAGAAGAAAACAAGAAAGGAGATACCATAATAGAGGGAGACATTTTAGGTTTACAGAGAAATCAGGCACTAGGGAAATGTCTGGAGATCTACAAAGATGATACCAGCTAACCATCTAAGCAACAGAGGAGAGGCTACCTTAAATGCCCTCCCCTGATAATGAGATTGATGACTGAATTATATGCTATCCTATAGACTTTATGCAGCAACAGGTGGAAGTAGAAGGAGACACCCACAACTAATCACTGAACTTAACTGGAATCCAGTTGTAGAGAAGATTGAGTGATGGGCAAAGGGGTCCAGACCAAGCTGGTGAAACCCACAGAAACATCTGACCTGAACATCTGGGAGCTCTTTGTCCTGGGACAGCTGGGATATCAGCATGGGACTGATCCAGACCCCAGGAACATGGGTTCAGTGAGGAAACCTCAGAAATCTACAGAACCTCCTGTAGTAGTTCAGTACTTATCCCTAGCATAGGTGTGGACCTTGGGAGCCCAATCCACATAGAGGGATACCCTCTGAGCCAAGACACATGGGAGTGGGCCTAGGCCCTATCCCTAAGTATATGATAGACTCTTATGACCTCCTATGGAAGGCCTCACCCTCCCTGGGGAGCAGAAAGTATATGTGATAGGTATATGTGATTGGGGGGGCTGGTAGGGGAGGTAGTGGGAACTGGGATTGACATGAAAAACAATCTTGTTTCTAACTCAAATAAAAAAAAGAAATGTTTCAAAAAAAAGAATTGTCCTTATTCATACAATTTGCACTTTCCTTCATCTTCTTTCCTCCTTCCTACCAATTTTTCTTAAATCCATCTCTAACTGAGGTTTAAAGTATGTAGATGATCAGTGATGGTCGTTGAACATCTGACCTTTGTTTCAGGTTTTCCAGGTGCACTGAACTTACTGTCGACAAAATTACATATGTATCCATATTTTCCATTTTGACTAACATCGTTTGACAAAGATACAACAAGTCCAAGTAAAATAACAAATTGCAAGAGATGGATAGTTAGGTAGATGATATATATGCTATATTATATATACACACACATATATATGTATATGTATATATATGATATACAGACAGAATGTTTGATAGCAAAGCATCAAACTGAGTGTCCAGAATAACCTGAAGAAATAGATGAGGCAAGCTTTTCTATGGCAGCCAGGTGGCTTTCTGAAATATAAAGCCATGATGCTTCCAAGTAGAAAACAAAACAGAACGGTGACATCAATAAATTGGCTTGCAGATTTCCCACAGAGACTGAATAAACATGTTAAGGCAGCCATTTGGATTTTCCCCATCTGGATTCCTAGGAAGAGCAGAGAAAACAATTGAAAGTTCAGCCATGGTGAATTCATCTATGGTAGGAAACAGAGAAGCAATAGGCAACTCCACTTTACTGTTTCAACTTTCCTAGAGAATTTCTGCTGGAAGTTATGAGCACCTGATTTGATCATGTGATTTCTATCTGTTGCTATTTGTTCTTTAAAGTATCATCCAAGAAGACTCTCAGAAGTTAAGTCCAGATGGCTGCCATAACTTAAGTGCCCTAGAGGATAATGGATTAATGCTGTACATCTTGAGGCCCTTAAATAACATTTTGCTGTCTGTGTGTCTGACCGTCTGATGATCTCTTATCTATTTGTCAGTCTCTTACTTGCTACATATTTTTTTTCTCTGACTTGCTTCATTCTTAGTAAACTTAGTCATTCTAAATCAAAGTTGGGACTATAATAGGTCGTTCTCCGACTGTATAGAATACCAGACACACAGTATTTACTAATAAAATAGGATGAACTGAGCTAGCTGTATTAAGGAACACTGTCTGTACACACACACACACACACACACACACACACACACACACACGCACACACATGAGGCCAGAAATTTGAGAACAAAAAGCTGATTTATAGGGAGGAAAGTGAAGGAAGAAATATAACCTATTATAAACCTAAAAAATTTTAAAGTAAAAAAAATGAAAACAAACATTTTCTGTCATTTGGCATGATGTAATTTTTCTCTCAATAGGGGACCGCTTTCTCATGATTACAACTCAATGTGAAATGTAACAAAATAAAATGAGTTTAAATCTCTGATAATGTTACAACATTTGTAAGGATGACCTTAAAAATGGTTATCCTGTTCCTATCCTGTTTCTCTTATGGGAGAAATAATGAACTATATAAATTAACCTTAGTTATACATAAAGATTAACAAAACACAAATAGCAGAAAAAAACTTTCTCAAACCAGAGTCAAGCACAGTGACTAAATTTCAGAATCCAACTACTTTAAAGCATTTTTTTATGATCCCATGGATGTGTTAGAACTGTGAAACATGAAAAGATACTCTTCAGACACAATGTTAATATAGAGGTTATATAATCTCCTCCTTTCTACATTCATTGGAGAGATAGGAAATGAGCTAATTATTGGCATTTTAGTAGTTTAAAACAAAAATAAATGGTCTTCATTGTCTTATTAAAGACATTTCTATTTGTCAAAAGATAATTTAATTGAAACGGGAAAAGCTGTTCACTTGAATGGCTATGAAGTTCAGACTTACCCAATCAGTGAAGATGAAATCAACCTCACATAGACTCACAGATTTTGAGTCTTTCCGGACCTTAGTCTTGGTCAGTACTTTTGTTTAAGTTTGATTTCATTTGGACAATTCATCTTGTTAACATTTATTATTTATCCACTTAAAATAAATTTATGTTCTCTCAAAATAGAGGGTAATCCAAATTTGAAGTTTAGAAAAACACTGAAAACCACTTTTATTCAATTTTCCCTTTAATTGCTTATCAGAACTATATCCATAAACAGGTTCATTTTTATCATTCAATATGTTTCCTTTTCTTCATTTAAATATTTTTGTAGTTTAATTTCTATTTACAATGTTTTTAAATAAAATTTAAAATGAATGCAAATATTGTCTCTCACACACAACAAATAAATACATCCTACAGAAAATATATTTTTTAATTTGTTTCCACTTACCCTCTACTTTGGCAGTAGAAAGCCATAAGGTTAGAAAGATATTGGCTAAGAGCAATAGGCCAGACCACCCCATGTTCTAAAACCTAAAGCTCTCCAGCAGAGGTGGTGCTTCTGGCAATTCTGTCATTTGCAGTAGTGTGCATGACTTTGAAATACAGTGCATTGCTGGAAGCTAGTTTGGTAAATATCAAAGGTCACAAGAGAAGAGCAAAACAAACAATGTTCAGTGTTTGTTTTCACATTAATACTTTATGCTAATCATTTTATATTCATTAAGCCATCAAATAGCAGGCAATTTCTTTGTGCCAGCCTCCTAGATAATCAAAATGAAGTATTCAGAAAAAACAATGAGAGATTAACTTTCTTTTTGCCTTTGTATAAGAATCATAGCTGGGTAGGACTGTTGGTTGCTTCTGTTTTCTGGAGCCTCTGGTAACATTAATGCTAGTCCTCAATGAGCAAGCTTTTAGGAAAACTCCAGCTCAGGGTCCTTCAGACTATGTGATAAAATATGTGGCATCAAAATATACAAAGAACTCAAGAAGCTAGCCTCCAAAATACCAAACAACCCAATTAAAAAGTGGGGTACAGAACTAAATAGACAATTTTCAATAGAGGAATCTAAAATGGCTGAAAGACACATAAGAAATGCAAATCAAAACAACTCTGAGATACCATCTTACTCCTGTCAGAATGGCTAAAAGCAAAAACACCAATGACAGTTCATGCTGGAGAGGATGTGGAGAATGGGGAACACTCCTCCACTGTTGGTGGGATTGCAAACTTGGACAGCCACTTTGGAAATCAGTATGGCAACTCTTCAAGAAAATGGGAATCAGTGTACCAATGATCCAGCAATTCCATTCTTAGGGATATACCCAAAAGAAGCACATGCATACAACAAAGACATCTGTTCAAAGATGTTCGTAGCAGCACTATTTGTAATAGCCAGAATCTGGAAGCAGCCTAGATGCCCCTCAGCTGAAGAATGGATAGAGAAAATGTGGTACATTTACACAAGGGAGTATTACTCAGCAAAAAAAAAAAAAACAATGGAATCTTGAAATTTGCAGGAAAATGGATGGAACTATAAGAATCCATTAAGAGCGAGGTAACTCAAATCACAAAGACAAACATGGTATGTACTCATATGTGGATTTTAGACATAGGGTAAAGGATTACTAGCCTCCAATCCACAGTGCCAGAGAAGCTAATAAACAAGGAGGACCCTAAGAGAGACATACATGGTCCCCTGGAGAAGGGGTAAGGGGCAAAAATCTCCTGAGCAAATTGGGAGCATGGGAACAGGGGGGAGGGAGCTAGGAAATGAGAAGGTGAGAAGAGGAGGGGTGAGGAGGACATGAGGGAGCAGAAAGGTTGAGTGGGGGAAAGAAAAGAATGAAACAAGAATGGAGATACCATAATAGAGGGAGACATTTTAGGTTTACAGAGAAATCAGGCACTAGGGAAATGTCTGGAGATCTACAAAGATGACACCAGCTAACAATCCAAGCAACAGAGTAGAGGCTACCTTAAATGTCCTCCCCTGATAATGAAATTGATGGCTGACTTATATGCTACCCCTGATAGCCCTCATTTAGCAACTGGTGGAAGTAGAAGCAGACACCCACAAGTAATCACTGAACTTAACTGGAATCCAGTTGCAGAGAAGGATGAGTGATGAGCAAAGGGTTCCAGACCAGGCTGGTGAAACCCACAGCAACAGCTGACCTGAACAACAGGGAACTCTTGGTCCCCAGACTGATAGCTGGGATATGAGCATGGGACCGATCCAGACCCCAGGAACATGGGTTCAGTGAGGAAACCTCAGAAATCTACAGGACCTCCTGTATTAGTTCAGTACTTATCCCTAACATAGGTGTGGACTTTGGGAGCCCAATCCACATAGAGGGATACTCTCTGAGCAAGACACATGGGAGTGGGCCTAGACCCTATCCCAAATGATACGATAGACTCTGATGACACCCTATGGAAGGCCGCACCATCCAGTGGTAGCAGAAAGGATGTGTGATAGGTAGGGTTTTAGTTGGGGGGTGGTGGTAGGTGAGGAGGGGAGGAAGAGGGAACTGGGATTGGCATGTAAAACAATCTTGTTTCTAATTCAAATAAAAAAACCATCAGATAAAAAAAAATATGTGGCCCCTTCCTTCAGTTGTAGAGACATATGTTTCACCTGTTCAGAGACATCCAGCTGTAATTAACAATAGTCTGTAATGTTTTGAGTCCATCAGCTCAGTAGAGTGTTTCTCTTGCCAAGTATTAGTGTGTTTCTTAGATGGTCTTTGGTTTTCAGAGGAAGGAATGTCAGCCTAGTAGGGAAATTTCATTTAATATACATGAATGATATTAATTATAGAATGCTTACTGATTATAGTTTTAGGAATTGGGTACTTCATGCTGTTATTCCTTATGACTTTCTCATATATTCTTATTGTTATTTTAATCTCCCTCTTGTAATTATGTCTTTCAGATCTATGTAATTAGGGTCTCTCCCTTTTTTTGACATTTTCTTCATCGTATCATTTGTATCCTGCTTTTCATCTTTCCATTGCTCGCCCACCCTAGTACTCAGGCAATGGTCTGTATTTACTTTCCTGGATTCTGCAGTTACTCCAGGGAATAGACTTACCTGTGAAGATTTGGAGTTAAGTCTCTGACAAGTGACAATTTGTGATGTTTGTCTTTTGGGTCAGGTTATATCATTCACTATTATCTGTTCTAGTTCTCCAATTTACCTGAAAAGTTTGATTTTAATTTTCTTTACTGTTGAATGGAATTCTAGAGCATATATGTAAGTAACTTTCATGTTCCATTCATCAATTGAAGGACCTCCAACTTGCTGCTTCCATTTACTAGCTATTGAAAATATATCAACAATGAACATATCTGAACAAGTATGTGTGAGATAGTATGTCAAGATATTTTGGCATAAGCCAAGTCATGTATATCTAGGTCACAGTGTGGATTTATTGAGAATCATCCCCCCCATTCATTTCTACTGTAGTTGCAAAGTTTCACTTTTTCTCAGGTCCTGCCACGATTTGTTGACATTTTTGTTGGTGGTGGTCTTTACAATTCTGATGGAGTAAGATAAAATCACAAACCTATTTTGATTCACATTTTCTTAATTCTTAAGAAACTTCTTAGTTATTAAAATTCTTAATGGTTCATGAACCTTTTTTTGAGATATTTCTTAGCCATTTTTTTTCTTCTTTTGATAGTTCTCTGTGAAGATTACAGGTCCATTTTTGAAAGGGTCATTTGGATTTATTTGTTTGATTTTTTTGTTTTTTGAGTTTTTAAATATTCAGGATATTAATCTTATATGTATATTTATAATCTTACCTGTGTAAGATTATAAATATTAATATACACAATAGATACATTAAATATATACAAGTCTATAACATATTATATATAATTATATCCACCATGAAAAAGTAGGCTTCATCCCAGGGATGCAAGGATGGTTCAACATACGAAAATCCGTCAATGTAATCCACCATATAAAAAGACTGAAAAAAAAAAAAACCACATGATCATCTCACTAGATGCTGAAAAAGCCTTTGACAAAATCCAACACCCCTTCATGATAAAGGTCTTGGAGAAATCAGGGATAACAGGAACATACCTGAACATAATAAAAGCAATATACAGCAAGCCAACAGCCAACAACAAATTAAATGGAGAGAAATTCAATCCAATTCCTCTAAGATCGGGGACAAGACAAGGCTTTCCACTCTCTCCATACCTCTTCAATATTGTCCTCGAATTCCTAGCTAGAGCAATAAGACAACAAGAGGAGATCAAGGGAATACAAATTGGAAAGGAAGAAGTCAAACCCTCACTATTTGCAGACGATATGATAGTCTACATTAGTGACCCAAAAAACTCTACCAGGGAACTCCTACAGCTGATAAACACCTTCAGCAAAGTGGCAGGATACAAGATTAACTCAAAAAAATCAGTAGCCCTGCTATACACCGATGATACATTGGTGGAGAAAGAAATCAGAGAAACATCCCCCTTCACAATTGCCACAAACAACATAGTGTTACCTTGGGGTAACACTAACCAAAAGTGTGAAATACCTGTACCATAAGAATTTTGAGTCTCTAAAGAAATAAATTAAAGAAGATACCAGAAAATGGAAAGATCTC